TTTTTATTTTTTTTTTTTTTTTTTTTTTTTTTTTACATAGTTTGTTAAATAATTGTTTAATAGCTGCCAAATACCAAGCCATAGGGCACAATCAAAAGATTTGAACACTTTGCGACCCTTGAAACTATTTGCCACAGTAGCCACAACATACAATAATAATTATTTTCAACTTTTTCAAAAACACAATTCAAATGGACCTGACGTCAATACCCAATGAGAAGGTCCGAATTCAACGTCGGTGAGAGTAGCTAGAAACCCGATCTGAGGACGGCCGTTGCAAAATTAAAAAAAGAAAGTTGGTTAGCAATTTTCTGTTACTCTGTTGTTTCATTTAAAGATCCAATATATGGAATGTGAATTTGCACCCTGTCTTTCTTTGTTTCAACAATTTTTTCGAGTAAATATATTTAAATGAAACTAAATGCATGGCCTACAAGGCATGCATGACCAGCTTTACGGTGTTACCTAGCTAGCTTCTAAACTTTTTTTTCTGTACGGTCAATATAGATATGAGTCGATATGCACCCCTTCTTTAGACATATTGAAATTGATTAATCATGTTTAACATATATAAACCATGGGCTTTCGAACTAAGTTTTGATATTTCGAGTGTTGTGATTTACGATTACGAAGTAAATCCTATTTGTTCGAACTACAGTTGTCTTCTCATAACTTTTACTTTAAGGAAGTGTCAATGCATTTGGTTGTCTTCTCATAAATTGTACTTAAATGAAGTGCCCATGCAAGACCAATGCAAGGTTTTGAAGATAAACATCATCTACAGTATATCATGCTGTTAAATATTTTCTCTTTGAATCAAATACTTACAATGTAATCAAACGGGTCAAAAGGAAGCTGATGCATATGGTGAATATAATGTATCAGGTTTGGGGTGGAGAAGGAGGTAGGGTTGGGGGTATGGGGTTGGGGACGGGGGTGGTGTTGAACAAAACATGACATCGTGAATATTATGTATACGGTTGGGGCTAGGGGTGGGGATGGTGTTGAACAAAACGTGAAATATAACGTATGTGAGGGTGTATGTGTATGTGATAGGAAGGTAGGTGAGCTCTTTACGTGAGTGCGTGCGTGCATGTTTGCGAGGGATAAAATTAAAGTGAAACAAGGACAGGGCTATCAGAGAATGTACTTTGCCCCGGTATCACAAAACTTATTAATTGGAAGGAATCAAATTAAATATATGTAATTTTTGTTGTTCTTCCAAAGAAAAAGTTATTAACTTTACCACACTAAGTGCTTGAAATATATCAAAGACATAAAATGGAAAGGAATTAAAATCATGTTTTTTTTCTTGTGTGCCGTAAATATACGTTTTGTATTTTTTCATAAGGGAATCCTGAGGTCGTTTAACATACCAAGTGCCAAAAACGAGCTATATTAATTAAGAAGAAACCATCTTTATTATGTCAAAAGTACCTCTGCCACCGTCGAACACATGGACGAGATTCGTTGGATTCTGCTCTCGTGAAATTTTATAAAAACTGCCTTTGTTACAATGAAAACGTAAGCATCGCTTTAATCCCTGCGCCGGTTGAGGTAAGAAGTAGTCAAATTGGCTTCGTGCGCTTCTTCTTGATATTAATGTTACTCATATCAGTATAATGGAACATTTTTCACAGATTGCGACACTGTAACTTTCAATTTGAGACGTAGTTTGATTGCGGGCCTGGTGTTTTAGTTTCGTATTTAATATTTTAATGTAAATTTATCCTCGAATAACAATAATATCCTATTTACTATAGTATTACAACCAAACCAAACCAAATCAAACCTTTTAATATTACTACACATTTGCTTTTATTGAATCATTCAATATTTTAAGAAGAACTACAACACAAATGTAACGTTTGGCTTTAACTTTGGATCCTTTAAGTAGGCTCGTGTTTGCGAAACATCTGTCACATTTAAATTTCCAAGACATGAGAGTGCTGTGGAAAGAAAAGGAAATTCATGATGGATAACAAGTGTGGTTCAGAATCATATTTTCATTTTAAATCGCTATTACATTGATTCCACTGCACGGCGTGTTAGACATGCATGGTCAGCTTTAAGGCATTCACTAACCCGCTACTAAAAGTGTTTTTGGTTCCGTACGGTCAATATAAACATGATTGTTTATGGGTCGATATGCACCCCTTCTCTAATCATATTGGAATTGATTATTCATGTTTGATCTACATCAACTATTAGCTTTTAAACTTAGTCTTGATATTTCGTGTGTTAATATTTACGGTAACTTTGATTTAAACGTCTTTGTTCAAACTTCAGCTGTCTCCTAATAAATTTCACTTAAATGAAGTGCCCATGCGAGATTTATGCAAGGTTTTCAAGATAAGCCTTCGTTGCCGTTGGTATGTATTGAGCATATAACATCTACAGTATATCATACTGTTAAATATTGACACTTTAAATCATATCCGTACAATTTAATTAAACGGGTCCGTTTTTTGGTTTGTTTGTGTTTTTACGGCCAGGTTTTGATGGTGGGTGAAAGCATGAGTTCCCGCTGAAAAACCACCGACCTACGACCAGTATCTGGCGACTGCCGCACGTAGGTCTCGAATCCGCGACCCAGTGTTGGAGGGCTAGTGGTAGCAGGTTGCCAGACGCCTTTACCACTTAACCACCGCGCCCCCCCCCCCCCCCCCCCCATCAAACGGGTTCAAAGGAAACTGATGCATATGCTGTTTGAATAAAACGTGGCGTCATGAAAATAATGTGTGTGTAAGGGTTTGTGTAGGAGGGTGTGAGGGTGAGTGTGTGAGGGTGTGTGGGTGGGTGTGAGAGGGGGTGAGTGTGTGTGTGTGTGTGTCTGAGAGAGAGAGAGTGTGTGTGTGTGTGTGCGTGTGAGAATGTGTGTGAGAGGGTGTGTGTATGTTATAGGGAGGTGGGTGGGTTTTTTTACGTGCGTGCATGCACGTTTGCGTGAGATGAAATAAAGTGAAACAAGGACAGGGCTCTCAAAAAATGTACCTGTCCCCGGTATCACAAACAAATTATTGATTCAAAGGAATTAACTTAAATATATTGGAGTTTTTCACCACTCTTTTAAGTCGATCAGTGACTTCTTAACTTTCCGTTACGGTTCAACAAGCCCCATAAAAGATGTAATAGTCCCCCTTAATTTCAACCCCCTGGCAAGTCATATTCAAATACCCTTATCAAAAGGCAATGAGGCTGTTGGGATGATAACAGTTGCTCATAAGATTTATAACATGTCAATCTCTTAAGCGACCAAACTGAATGTTACGAAATGACATATTATTTGAAGATCATTTATATACCTAGGTCATGCGGGGCTTTATTTCTCTTTAACTATGTGTGGAGAGGTATACCGGCCTCACAAGAAGATGACTGTTACTATGGAAAAGTATAAAAATCATAGTAAAACGTCCGCGTAACATATTTTACCGATATGTATGTGTAAAACCTTAGACCTTTGACCATAAACA